TGTATGGCCGTGGCAGGCTTCTTGCTAACTGTTCTTTTATCTTAAATTAACCCATTTTTATAAATCTATACCTTGCCACGTGGCTGGTGGCTTCCCAGCGTCTTCACATGTTGCTTGTCCTGGCGGTGGCTGCAGTGTCTCTCCTCAGCCTTCCGCTTCCCAGAATTCTCCTCTCTCCTAGTCCCACCTACTTCCTGCCTCGTCACTGGCCACCAGTGTTTTATTTATATAGAACAATATCCACAGCAGTTTTTGTCTACTAACCACTATGAAATACTTTCCTTTACTTCTGTCTAGCCCAAGTCATCTCAATTCTAAAGGATGCAAAGAAAAAAAAAGTATTTACCAAGGCTTCTTTTGAATTCTTTGTCATATGACAATCTATGTTAAAGAAATAGAACTAACATCTCAGGTAGGGGTGTATTGTTTTTATGTTTAGAAGGCTTGTGCTAAAGTTGTCAGAGAAAAGAAGGCCAACATATCTCCATCTAATAACCATAGCAGAAACCTTTCTCTGCTATGAACCAGAGCTTGAAATTCGAGAAAAAAAACTCCTATTTTTAATCAGACACAAATATCACACAGAGACAACTGCTTTTTTTCCCTGGGCAAACAATAGACTTACCTATTAAATTCAGGCACAATGTTGACATAGTCTCATCAGAAGTGGTTTCCTATGCCAGGCGCCTTAGAAATGCCATGTAGTGATGGAAAGGAACAACAGCCACCATCCACTTCTCTTTAAAGAAAGGAGATGTTTGACTGTGGGTCTCTGCATCTGCCTCCATCAGTTGCTGGATGAAAAAGAAAAAGAAAAGAAAAGAATCTGCTTGTCCTCATTCCCATACAAGAGAAATATAGTAAGTTTATGGGATTATTTTTATAAAAGTAAATACCATGACAAAACTTAGGTATCTCACACATGATGATGTCACTCAAAGCAGATATGTAACCAATAACCTAGGGCAGCAAGGATGATAGTAATAGCAAAATAAGTTTTTAAAAAAGTGTTAGCCTTGTTTTATTAGTTGGATGAAAGAAAACTCAGTCGAGAAAGTACGTAGAATAAAGTATGCTTGATTTACAAGTACAAATTTCATTTCTTTGTATGCTTTAATCCTTTAAAAATCTAAAAAAGTAAACTCTAATCAGATTATATGATAAGAAATTTCTTATATGTGGAATGACCTTATTTACATTTGACTGAATTATTAACAAATACCTGAGTTTATCAATTTTCTTAAAAAAATGTAAGGGGACATAAAATAAAATAAAAGCTCACAAAGCTCTTCATAATTGCCGGATTTATAGAGCAGATATTATGTCCCAGGAACTGTGCCAAATGCTAATTTTGTTCAGTTTCAGAATATGGATGAGAGGTGTATACTGTATGCTAGTTTTCTTGATACAATTCAGTAACTTATGCAAATTCTTACTATTAAGAAATAGCAGTAGATAGTCTCAAGTCTGCTTCTTTTTCACACCAAAGACTTTGTTCCCTCTCCAGATGTCTGGGGCTTAGAGCACATCGGTCAACAGCCTCTTTATCCAGGTACTCATATAATTCACTGGTTCCATGCATATGTGTCCAGCATTTGTCACGTGTTGAACATCATTCCAGAAACCTGAGATACATACTCAAGAAAGTTACTATGGTGGTCACTGCATAATAGAAAGAGACAAAGAATAAATCATTTACATCTGTGAAAATTTAATTTAAGAAAAATATCGAGCATTTGGAAAATAAGTGCTATGTGAAGGTGAGAAGGGCAGAGGAAGGGAACAGAGTGTGAGAGCATGTGAAAGGGTATGGGAGCTGGATGTTATTTTAAGTTGAAAGGTGAGGATAAACCTTATGTCAGGGTGGTATTTAAGGAAGTATTTGAAGACAACAAGAATTTTTGGTAGGAGGAAAATTTGAAGAACAATGCTTCTAAGAAAGAAAATACAGGTTTATGATGAAGCAGGAGATAGCATTTTCTATGTCAGAACAATAACAAAAGGCAGGTTTGTGTGGAGAAGAGCAACAGCACAGTAGCTAAGTTTCACTGAGAGACAACACTGCTTAAATGAACCATTTGAGCTTCAATTTCTGTGAGATGAGAATCAGGCAAAGTCTGGGAGCAAAATAACAATATCAACAATAACTCTACGGGTTGTGTTAGATCACTCCAGCTACTGTATTAAGATTAGAATGCAGGGGGTTGAAGTGGTAAAGTGTGCCTTTAATTCCAGCATTGAGGAGGCAGAGGCAGGCTGCTTTCTGTGAGTTTGAGGCAGATCTACTACCCAAAGAGCTCCAGAGCTGCAAAGAATGATCTCTTATATAGTTTAACTCAACCTATAACTATTAATCTATGTATTACTATGTGTCCTGTGGCTTTACCTGCATCCCATTCCATGTTGCTCCTAGGATGGCAGTCTGGTGTCTCCCTCACTCCACCTTTCTCTTTCCTGTCCCTCTTCTTGGATTTCTAAGCTGCCTTGCCATAGGCCAAAGGAGCTTATTTATTAACCAGTGGGAACAACATATATTCACAGCGTACACAAAGACATCCCCCAGCAATGATCCTATTTCCTAAAACAAAGTGCATCTAGAATCTAGAATTAGAATTAGAATCTAGAAGATCGAAGTAAAAACAGGAGACCTTGAGAATGAGCTCATAGGATTACATATGAAATAATGTTCTGGACAGATAATGAAGGCAGGGCAAATAGAATCTTTGTTTAAATCAGATATAGTTATTGAGAAAGAAAAATTAAAATCAAAATCCAAGATTTTTACTCTCAAACATTGACACAGTGGAACAAGAGTTACTGTGGTACTTTGTGAAGGACAGAGGCCTCATAGACTTTTCCCCATGCAGTTTGACATGTTCATCGGTGGGGGGGCCACCTTATTCTACTCATGTGTGGGTGGTGATGGCAGTGAGACTTTTTGGATGTAGCTTCTGATGTTACTAGGAGACACAATTTCACAGCAAAGTCCTTGATCCTTTTGGTATTTCTGCCCCTTCTTGTGAGCCTTAGGTGTAGAAGTTCCTGAGCCTTAGGTGTAGAAGTTTTTTTATAGATTGGATACATATATGCATACAATAACAACTAATGAAAAAAGAGGCCATGAATATGAAGGAGAACATGACGAAGTATGTGGGAGGGTTTGGAGAGGGAAAAAAGAAGGGAGAAATGTTGTAATTAAAACACACTGTCAAAAGTAAACAACAAAAAGAGTGACCAGTGGTCAAATATTATGAAGACTGAAAGTGGTATTCTGCTTTTAGCATTATACGGATCCTGATAAGATCACTTAAATTAATGTAGTAGAAACTTGAAGCAGTAAGTTTAAAGGAGAAATGGAAAAAGAGAAACCCAAGGCAGATAGAATAGACAATGTTTTAAAGTTCTAACTTACAATGGGAAAGGAAAATGGAATAAGATGATCATATTTTACTCATAAGGGGAAAATTATGGCATGTTTGACTATTCATTGGAATGATGCCAAAGCAGAGGTAAAAAAAATTACACACAGAAAAGAGTGGTATTTTAGTAATATTTTCTGGGTATTCAGGAAGAGATATGGGACTCAATGTATAGATATAGATAGAACAGGAGTTTGGTAGGAGGTATAGTTAACAATACCCATATGTTGGCAGATGTGAATAAAAGTTTTTCTGCATTTGCATTAATTATGCCAGTAAAGCTGGAAACATGTATGGTTTAAATATTAAGGCAACTCCATGTAGTTAAAAGGGAGGTCTATTTTGTGGGGTAACTTACAAGTGAAGGGATAGGTAAGGGAAAGGTGAAGCGCCGTCTAGTGGTGTTCTCTGGAGAACTCTGCTTGGTCTACCTCCAGCATCCAGGATCCAGGAACCAAGAGAGCCAGCCCATCTGGATCTCGGGTCTTCAGGGGTCCTCTCTCAGCGCTGTCTTATAAGCGTGACAGTTACTAAAGCCTCAATGGAGGTTGTACTTCCAGGTCAAAGCTGGCACAGCTACCCACTACATCTCTCCCTTTTGTCTAAATAAGAAGGTTCTAACCTAATACAAGACTATATATAATAGGAATGATTATCAAATATTGTGCAGGAGTAATGAGGGATAATGACCTAGATAAAATGGAACTAAAACCAACACGAACAATATCAAACAAGAGACACATACTAAAATCCAGAGAAGTCTAGAGCATAGGTAAATAGCATGTTACAAAGATCATTCCAAAAGGTGTCCTATCCTAAAGAACCTAAATCTAATGATATATATATATATATATATATATATATATATATATATATATATATGTTGTAACTATAACTACTAGTCTCCAATCCCATCAAAGACATGGGAAGGAATATAATGATACCTAAGAAATGGAAGATGGATGCAAGCAACTTTCGGGAATCTTGCAAGAGTAGACAGAGACAGCTGGCAGCCTGGACAGTCACCTAATGTTTCTCAGCATTGTTGGTGCTTTCAAATTGGCTATAGGCCTAGAGTATCTGACAGACCATTTTCAGAAGCAGGAATTCTGAAAGACCATCTTACCCTGTCTTGGCAGAGTTCAGAAGTCACTCTTCCTTGTGTCCCACTTGTCCAGAAATTTGTACTGTCAGCAGTTGAGGCAAGGGCAGTTCTTTGCCCAGTAGGCCATTTTGTGCCAAGAAGACAAACTTCCAAATGGAAATGTCTTAGAAGCCCAGCATTCTCTGGGGATCAAATTGGTGCTGCTAGGAGCAATTGTGTCTTATGTCAACAGAATTCTAAGTTACTTAAATGCTATATTCTCTAGGTCCTTGAAGTGTTTGAAGATTACCTGTCCATCCGACCTATGTATCTGCAAATCTGGATAACCTAACTAAAATAACTATAGAGATGACAAGCATAGGTGACTATAAATCTATAAGTCTTATCTACACAAATAACCTAAGGACTAAGGTTTCATGTAAACAAGGTAAACAGTCTGTAAGCAAATGTACTGTAAAAGGACGATGACTTCAAAATTGTGACAATACACAAAATATCTTTAATATAAAGAGAGTAAACAAACATAATGTAATATGATTGGTACCCTCTGGGACCTACATTTTGTTGATTTCAGTCATTAATCTACATGTAACCTACTTGTGTCATTAAGCTTTGTTTCACTATAAAGTATATAGTCCAGGTAAATGGAGATTAGAATGTATATAGCACATGTTTTGTGAAAGAAAGTTTATAAATGAGACAGCTGGAAGAGGACTGAATTTGAATGAAAGAAGAAAGAATTGTGACTAACCATTGTTCTTAAGCTGAGTTAAGAAAGGAGGACAATCCCATGGACTTATTAAAAGACAGCACAAAGTCAGCATACTCAAAGAATGGGAGTCCCAGAGGATCTGAGGATTATTTAATTCCAATCAATAGAAGGACTGACATGGAAAAGAAAGATACTGCTTACCACCTAGTAACTCACTTGTGGGTGAAATTAAACGGAGGGTGGAGCTGACTTAGGTGGTCATTTAAAGACATTGCTTAAACCTAGATAGTTAGATTAGAAAAACTCAAGGCAGGAAAAATTTTGACGAATGTTTTCATATAATTTGAAATTGTCAGAAGTTATGCAGCTGGTTAGAGAAAGTAACACTGAAGGAGCTATAGTTGTTTATTTATCAAGAAAAATAACTCAATGTTTAGTAAACATGAAGAGTAGTAAAGAATGGCAGAGACATGACAAATAAGAAGATATGAGATTATGTACCAGGCTTTTAAGGAAAGATATGGGAAACAGGAAAATGGCCATCTGATTTCCTGTATTGGTAGTCTGAAAATTGTGGGAAAGAAAATGAGCTCCTATGAACAGATGATAGGGGCAGGTTTCCTACAGAAGCATAAGCCAGGAAATATACAAAGGACAGAGCAAAGCCACAGAGAATTTTCCTTTTGATAGACTATTGATTCCAGAAGTCACTTTAGAAAGGTTTTAGAATTTTAGAATTTACAGGCTCATGGAGAATGGAAGAAGCTTGTGGAATTTCAGAGATAAAGGAGGAGAGTGAGGTGTTCTATTTGTTACTGTGAAAGCCCAGAACTACTCTTGCATCCTCATAGAGTGGGGTTGGGCTGGATGTTACATATTTATGTTTATAAAGAAAAGCTAGGCTAAGCTGGGTGTTGGTGCTGCATGCCTTTAATCCCAGCACCCAGGAAGCAGAGGCTGGCAGATCTCTGTGAATTTTAGGCCATCCTGGTCTACAGAACTAGTTCCAAGACAGCTGAGGTTACAAAGAGAAACCTGGTCTCAAAAAAAAAAAAAAAAAAAAAAAAAAAAGCTAGGCTATGTAGTTCTAAGGACTGTGACTAATCTCACTTGGGGATTATTGAGTCCTCATTTCATCCCATTTTGAATACAAAGAGAGATGAGTTCATTTTTAAATTTATGCAAATCCTTTCTCTAAAAGTAAGAGGGTAACCCCCAGGTGTCACTACAAGAAGACTATGAATATGCATGTGTAATTATGGGATGGATGTGTGAGCAGGTTACATTTGAAAGTAGATTCATTGAGAACAACAAAGGAGAAGACACATTCCTAAAAGATGACTATTATATTTCTGATGCGACTGAGAGTAATCAGGGATGGCTGCAGACTTGACTAGTGTAATTCGGACAGGCTAAGAACTTGAATAAAGGGAAGGACTTTCTCTTCCCAAGACTAAACTGGAGGTCATCACAGCGAGTGTTTCTTTCTCTTGATAACAATCCACCTCCATCAATACACAAATTTTAACACACAGATTGCATTTAACTCACCATTAACAGATAGGAAGTTTGTAAAGAATATCAACGGATTTCCTTTCCCCCTTTCACACTCACTCCACTTGTGTTTTCCTTCAGAATATTTTTGGTTATTCTTTCCTTCTGCAGTTGCTTTTCCTTAGCTATTATTAGAATATGCTGCTCACACCTATAATGTAAATTTTCCAGAAGGCAACCTCAGTAATTGGACTTGAAGGATCTGATTTTCCTAAGTTCAGGTGACAGCCCTCCCTGCTTTGGAAGTTTATGATAATAAAGGCGATGTTTCTGCAACTCGAGGCCCATACATGACTCTATGGCCAAAGTTGTTATTACAGTTTACAGAATGTGCACAACAGACAAAGCAGTGTTGTTGAAGCTCCAGGATGTGGACATATATATAATTCTCATCTTGGGCTAGTGCTGCAGCTCAGTCGTAGAGGTTTTCCTAGTTTCTCAAAGTCGTAGGTTCCAACCTCAGTACTACAAGCAAATCTAAGCCAAAACCCTGGACTTCCTAATGTTTGAAACAGCAGGCTTTGAGAAATAATGTGTAATCCATAAAATCACATGAAAAAAAAATGAACTTTTCTTTAAGAGTCAGAATGTTTCACATATACAGAATCAGCCACTTGCCTCCTACAATTTCTACCCAGCTGCCATGACTGAAGCTAT